GAAATCATGTCCTTTGCAGCAACGTGGGTGCAGCTGGAGACCATTATCCTAAGCAAATTAATAAAGTAACAGAAAACCAAATACTGTATATTCTCACTTATAAGTGGGAACTAAACATTGAATATACGGAGGCACAATGATGGGAACAACAGACACAAGGGCCTACTTGAGTGGGGAGGGTGAGAGGAGGGTGAGGATCAAAAACTTGCACCTATCAGATACTATGCTCACTACCTGAGTGATGAAATCTTTTGTACACCAAACCCCAGTGACACACAATCTACTCATGCAACAAACCTGCACGTATACTCCCTGAACCTAAAATAAAAGGCAAAACAATTTTTAAAAAGGCATGATGGATGACTAAAGCAAGAAGAAACTATCTCAACAGTTTTATATGTGCTAGTATTGAATGATGTCAATATATTGTTAAGTAGAAAGAAATAAAATGACATACTAGCAAATAAAATTTTATCTATTATGTTCATTAATATCCTTTATGTATATGCTTGTTTATTGATAGAATAACGCTTATTTATCTTAAATGATACTCCACCAATTAGTAGCTACCTCAAGAGCGACACTACATAGCCATAGTTATTTTTCTATTTTGGCCTTGTATCCCTCATAAATCAATATTTTACACAAGTATCACATGCTTAGCATACAACCATATCAAATATGACTTTAGATATAGTATATGTAGTATCTGCATGAGAATTAGCTTGTAATCAGGCTAAGAAGATAAGAATGGCAAAAGTAGAGAATCACACAGAATGTCAATTAATACTCAGTTTTGTCACACAAATATTTTATGAAGCCTTCTTAGAAGACTGCAGCCTTCAGTGACCTCCTTCCCTTTGATTTTAAATAGCAATTATAGACTGTATCATACTGTAACATTAAATTATGTCTTTATCATATTCTAATAGTTCAGTATATGATAGTCTTGTCTTCATAGAAAAGATTGTCAAATCCTTTGACTCTAAATCCATTTGTGTGATACATTACTGATATAAAGCAAAGTGACTGGATAGAAATCTCAGATATGAACAATAACACACCAATAATTATTATACCACCTGCTGATATATATATATATATATTGTGCTCATAGGTGATTAATAAGAAAACAAGGCACAGAGAGGTTAATTACATTGTCCTAAATTTAAAAAAGAAACCTACTGGCCGGGCGCGGTGGCTCAAGCCTGTAATCCCAGCACTTTGGGAGGCCGAGACGGGCGGATCACGAAGTCAGGAGATCGAGACCATCCTGGCTAACACAGTGAAACCTCGTCTCTACTAAAAAATACAAAAAACTAGCCGGGTGAGGTGGAGGGCGCCTGTAGTCCCAGCTACTCAGGAGGCTGAGGCAGGAGAATGGCGTAAATCCGGGAGGCGGAGCTTGCAGTGAGTCGAGATCCGGCCGCTGCACTCCAGCCTGCGCGACAGAGCGAGACTCCGCCTCAAAAAAACAAAAACAACAACAACAACAAAAAAAAACAAAAAAAACCTACTAAGAGATATATTTAGAGTTAGAACCCAGGCAGGCTGACTCTGGAAATAGTGCACATAATGGTATAATAGATGGTGACCTTGCTCTGTTATTTAACCTCATTGACTTCTCTTCCTCCATTGCTAAAAGGTGGAAAATAATGACTTACTTTACAAAGCTGCTGTGATGCTTAATAAGAAAAATCCATTAACAGCTTTGTAATCCATGAAGCTGTACAGCCAACGTGAAGTATAACTGTCGTCATTGCTATTTTCATGCTGTTGTTAACCGGCATCATACAGGCTGGCTTCACAGGAAAGCAAAGATTTCACTTAGATTTCTGTAGAGATAGTTTTTTTAACAATCATTTACTGACTTTTAAACCTCAAAATGCATGTTTTTGCTGAGATTGCACAATATCTGTATTCTCAAATAAGTTATATTCTACTGAAAAAGATTATCTGATAAGCCATGATATGGTGAGTGCCATAATGAGATTCTGAGTTCTGTACAGGGACCTACTAGAGAGGAAAGGGGAAGGGAAGGATTTTGAGATTCAAAGAGTTAAGCACATTTCGCTCAGCAAAGAAAGATTTGCAATTTCAAATTCTAATACCTGCCTGTGAGAGAGGCATTCACAGGTTTTGTGTATTTATGCTACACAGAAACCTCATGGCATTGTCTTTAGTCTCCCTTTCTGGCATCTTTTCCCACAAAGACTGTCCTTGACCAACACCAGAAATGAATTTGATTTCTCTAATGCAGGAGATAATTGGATTTTTCTTTATGGAATGCATCCCTTTAATGACTGTCTCTGCTCCTGCCAATTTAGCTGCAAGTGACCTGACATTGATCTGATGATATGACTTAAAATAAAGAGTTCGAGCTGGAGGTGACAAAGATCAGCTGCCTGGCATCTGAAAGAATTTTTTTTGCTTCATCTCACCATTTTCCTGGGAAAATGCTTTATCCTTGAATGTCATTTTTACAAAACATGCAGCTGTAATAATTGGTCATACAGCAGCAGATTGCTTCCTTCTAGAAAATATAATAAGTATTTCCCAGAAAGTGCCCTGGAGAAAACATTGAAAATTGAATAAAACCCACCCAGTAATCATTCTATTCCTGGGAAATATTTATTACCATGTTGATTCTTTCTGGAACAGGGTAAATATTACTGAAGAGAATTAATTAAATCTTTTAAAAGTCTGATGCAACAAGAAATATTTATTTACATATTTATTCATGTAACCTTTAGGTTTTGTTAAAATATTTGACATGAGACCTGTTATTAAAGAAAGTTATAAAGGTACAGTGGCTGAAATCGTATTTGGAAAAAAATAGCAATTTTTTCCTCAAGAGGAGTTATGATATAAAGCTCTTTTTATTCCTAAGAGTATGTGAGATTTAAATTTCTCTGTTTTCACCTTTATAATTTTTTTTCAGTAACAATGTAATTCACCTGATTCATGGTTAATTTTTATTCTACCATCTTCCCTTTACTCCTTTTGATAAGTATCATGAATCATTTTGATGGGAAATACTATCCATGGGCATGAATTTGAGTGAGAAAATATAATCCTGTAATTTAAAAGGATCAAGAAGAAGATAAACAGATGAAAAAATCATTGATGAACTAGTTTCCCTTTTAAAATAAGTAAAAAATGTTTTCCTTTTTGAATTCTTAATATTAGTTGCATTCACATTGATGGTGATTGACAGTTTAAAGAGAAATGAACTGAAAGTTTATATTAAAACCATGCATGATTGTTGAATCTTTTTTTATTCAACAATGAAGCCACATCATGTGAAATTATTGTAGGCCCTATGTTAGATAGAGCCTACATAAATGTGTAGTGTTACTCAGTGAAGGGGAATGGACTATCTTTGGTTCTCATCAACCAAGAGAATGTTGGGAACTCTATTCCTAGAAATGACATTGAGAAATAATATGAAGAATTAATATCAGATCTTTCCTGTAAACTAGAATCCTTATCCACCATTCTGATTGTGTCATCTAAGTGAGCATGTGAAGCAGTGACATGCTGGTGAATGTTTCCAGAGACCATTTTGGATGCCCCTGCTTGAGAATTGATGTGCCTTCTACAGGAAATCCAGTACTATTGAAGGGGTCACTGATCTAACAGTACTCCCCACTGAATCACCATCTTTCATCATAAATGATTACATTTCACCCATATCAAGGCCACTGTTGAAAGCTACACTTAAATGCAATGATAAAGCTTTTTAAGCACAAGAGAAAAATTTAATTTAGTGGATGATGAAAATTCTCTCTTAATGCAATAAACCTCATTTCATTTCTGTTTTCATAATTTTGAATCTATCTTGTTTGAATTTGAACATTATTAATCAAAATCGTAAGTATTGGAATAGTGTTCTCTTCTCTTGAAGGGAAGGCAGATTTTCTGGAAATGGGAAACGTGTGTGTGTGTAACATACACACACATTTGTGTAACACTTTTTTAAAGGAAATTTATTATCCATCCTCATTGGATTTTTAAAATACCTTTCTAATAGATTAACTATTTATGATACTTTGGGCTTCTGCTGAAATCATTAATATGTGATGTGGTAAATGAGCAATGTATTTTGTTAATGGATCTTTAAAAACAGGTATTTATATCTTAATTTATTTTATCATTTCTTCTTGAGCAAATATTTTGGTCTAGTATATAAAAATCCCTTTGACATTAGAAGGGATAGAAAGATCTCCACCTTCAAGGATTTCAAAGCCTAGTGAAGAGAGAAAAAAGTATATAAGTAAGTAAAAGAGAAGGTAGAAGGTGATACATGACATGAGAAGGATGGGTCAAGAACCACAAGTTTTCTGTAAGTGGGAGAGAACAGTGAAGACATTGAAGACATCACAGTAGTGATATGACTTAGGCCTCAGAAGATGGGCAGAATCTGTGCAGGTGAGGAAAAGAGGAAGAACATTTTTAGATGAAGGCATAGAATTGTGGGTGAGAGAATGCTGGCTAATTAGAATAAATATGCTATAAAACTGGGTACGAGTAGTTTACCACATGTATAGTTGGAAGAAGTAAGGAAGAGGAAAAGAGAAGATAATATTTTGATTAATGATATCACTAAAAATCTAGACATCAGGGAATGCTTGAGTTTCAGATTTAGACAAACTTTTAAAGAATATAGTATTTTATTTGTTACATATGCTTTGTTTCTATGGTGATACTAATATTCAAAGGTACTTTCTTTATATAAGGTAATCTTAATATTAAAAAAATCTTAATATCTGACACGTTGAATGACTTGAAATGTGCTTATTCCATATGTACAGTACAGTCAAATAAACTATTAGAGTTTTTAATTGAATGAAGTATATCCTAATTTTTGTTTCTGCATATGTTATAATGTTAAAATGTGTACTTATTCTGTTCTCAATAGAATGTAAATTATAGGCTTATAGTTAAATCTGATTTTAAGATTTCTGAAAGTGCTAAATAAGATCCTTTCATTGCTTCAGGTCACTGATATGATGCTTCAGGACAAACCCTATCCTGACTGGGGAAAATCCGCAAGAGCTTTCTGGAAGAAAGGAAATGTTAGGATCACTTTGTTCTGGTAGGAAATTGTTTCACTTACTTATTTCTGCCTTGCCTCACTCACTAAAGGACTTGAGTTGGGTGTAATTTTCCTTAGAGATACAGAATTCTATCTAGAGGGACATTTTTGGTAGCTACTATGTTCTATTAAAACCATTATCCTAATTATTTTATGAATTAATTTCTTCTTACATATTGTGTATATTCACATTTATAAAAGAGAAGTTTTGCTAATATAGTGATACACTTAAGATTTGACCAGAGGTAGGTTTTTGATTCAGCAGAAACAAGCTGTAATTTTCATCAGTAAGATCTGATATATAAAACTGTCTCCTATAAATACTAAATTGCCTAGTATATTTGACAGGATACGATTTTGCTCTGAGAAGTGATAAAGAAAAGGAACCTCTTTACAAATCACATCGGCTACATTGGCATTTCTTCTTTATGTAGTTTCCTTTAGCTCTCCAGCCCAATCCTTGAAATTAAAAAATAATCCATGTCTTATGGAACTTTGTTTTTTGTGAAGTCACCGTTATTTATGTGTATGTGAACAAGTTCAAACAGAAAAGTTAGAAATGGAGAGACAGCAAGAAGGGCACTTTCACGTGGCTGTGGGACACTCCCCAAGCACAGTGATTCTGCATGATATAATATACAATTGAATAATTATATAATCCCAAGAAAAGTTATGTAAACTAACACTTACAAATGTTCTTTTTTTTTTTTTTTATGTTGAACTCAACTAAAGCAGTGCTGAAAGGCAACTTTCTAGCACTAAATGCTCTTTGTTTATTTATTTATTATTATTATTATACTTTAAGTTCTAGGGTACATGTGCATAACGTGCAGGTTTGTTACATATGTATACTTGTGCCATGTTGCTGTGCTGCACCCATCAACTCGTCAGCACCCATCAACTCGTCATTTACATCAGGTATAACTCCCAGTGCAATCCCTCCCCCCTCCGCCCTTCCCATAATAGGCCCCAGTGTGTGATGTTCCCTTTCCCGAGTCCAAGTGATCTCATTGTTCGGTTCCCACCTGTGAGTGAGAACATGCGGCATTTGGTTTCCTGTTCTTGTGATAGTTTGCTGAAAATGATGGTTTCCAGCTGCATCCATGTCCCTACAAAGGACCCGAACTCATCTTTTTTTATGGCTGCATAGTATTCCATGGTGTATATGTGCCACATTTTCTTAATCCAGTCTGTTACTGATGGACATTTGGGTTGATTCCAAGTCTTTGCTATTGTGAATAGTGCTGCAATGAACATATGTGTGCATGTGTCTTCATAGCAGCATGATTTATAAACCTTTGGGTATATCCCCAGTAGTGTGATGGCTGGGTCATATGGTACTTCTAGTTCTAGATCCTTGAGGAATCGCCATACTGTTTTCCATAATGGTTGAACTAGTTTACAAGCCCACCAACAGTGTAAAAGTGTTCCTATTTCTCCACATCCTCTCCAGCACCTGTTGTTTCCTGACTTTTTATGATTGCCATTCTAACTGGTGTGAGATGAAAAAATGCTTGTCACCACTGGCCATCAGAGAAATGCAAATCAAAACCACAATGGGATACCATCTCACAAATGTTCTACAGTATTTCCCCCTTAACTATGGTTTCCCTGGTTTTAGTTACTCTCAGTCAACTGTGGTCTGAAAACATTAAATGGAATGTTCCAGAAATAAACTATACATAAATTTTAAATTGTGTGCTGTTCTGCGTAGTGTGATGAAGACTCATACCCTCCCGGGAGATCAATCATCTCTTTGTCTAGCGTCTATCCATGCTGTCGATGCTACCTGCCCTTTAGCTACTTAGTAGCTATCTCACTTATTGGATCTATTGTCAAGGTATTACAGTGCTGTGTCCAAGTGATCGTTATTTTAGATAGTGATGGCCCAAAGCACAAGAGTGTTGATGCTGGCAATTTGGGTTAAGCCGAAGAGAAGCAATATGGCTTCCTTTAAGTGAAAAGGTGAAAGTTCTCTACTTAGGAAAGTAAAAGGAAAGAAAAAAAAGGATAGAAAAAAATAAGGAAAGAAAAAAAAATCATATGCGAGGTTAACATATCATATGCTAAGAAATATGGTAAGAATGGATCTTCTATCCCTGCAATTGTAAAGAAGGAAAAATAAGTTCATGCATAGGATATATAGGGTTTAATACTATCCAGGACTGCAAGCATCCACTGGGGTCTTGGAACGTATGCGCACCAGATAAGGGGACTACTGTAATTGATTATAGCTGGTGCTGGTGTATATTATCCTGTATACCTGCCTTTTGAAACAAAAGAGAAAAAAAATCTGTTTATTCTTGGTTTTAATTCTGGCGGTTGATTTTTTTAATGCAAATGCTTTAAAAATCATAGTAACTAAGTACTTGAGGAAAATACACTCTATCTTATCTTTTGTGCTTTAGCACTATCATTAAATGTTGCTGGAGATAATATGACATTTTGAACTCAATTCTTAGCAGGTAAACAAAAATGGATTTTCAATACTGTTATGAAAATTAGTATGATTTTTTAGATGGGTATTCACACCTCATCTTCCTGAGTCACATGTGGCCTATGGTACTATTTAACCTCCATCTTTTTTCCTATTTGTAAACTTCCCATATAGCTTTTCTGAATAATTATATTATAATTAATATAATTAAGTATATAATTAATATAAATATAATTAATATAATTAATAATTAATAATTATAAGAAATATTTATTGATAGTATGTTTTGCTTGAGGCAGTAGGCCAAAGACTTTACATCCTATATCTTTATTTATTTAATCATGACAATCCTGTAAGATAGGTGCTATTGTTATAGGCATAGGTCTCTGACTCCAGAGCCCTAGTTTTTAATTATTACACTAGGACTGCTTTTGTTCTAGGCGAACAAAGGATGCATCAGTGTACACATTTCCAAATGATTAATGTTAATGTTAATTCTTGTTTAGGTAGGGTGCTAAAGAAGAACATACAGTTCTTGGGAGCCTTCTTCCCTACAAAATTCTCTATAGGGGTCTTAAACATCAGAATTTGAAAGGAGATAAACTAATATCAAACGTGTTTAAAGATGGTCTCTCTTAAAACAATATTTATTTACTGTGTTTACATATGTTTCTTATTAGTGTACTGGTATGGTCTCACTCTGTGTCCCCACCCAAATCTCATCTTGAATTGTAGTTCCCATAATCCCCACTTGTCATGGGAGGGACCCAGTGGGAGGTAATTGAATCATGGGGGTGGTCACCCCCTTGCTGTTCTCGTGATAGTGAGTGAGTTCTCATGAGGTCTGATGGTTTTATAAGGGGCTTTTCCACATTTGTTTGGAACTTTTCTCTCCTGCTGCCATGTGGAGAAGGACATGTTTGCTTCGCCTTCAGTTGTGATTGTAAGTTTTCTGACACCTTCCCAGCCATGCAGAACTGTGGGTCATTTAAACCTCTTTTCTTTATAAATTACCCATTCTCAGGTATTTCTTCACAGCAGCATGAGAATGGACTAATACATGTATCTTCAAAGGTAGCTGATTGATGACTGTTCTCTGCTAGTTATCAAGGTCACATGTATACTATTTGCTAGGGTAAGCCATGTATTCTATAGGCCCCTATGATTGTTGTCATTAGCTGTTCTTAATCATGATTGCTGTTTCAGAGGAGAGAAATCCATTAATACGATTTTTTCTTTGAACATTATCACTCAGGTCTATATATCACCAGTGTCTTACAAATGCTTTATTTTTTATGTTTTGAGACAAAGTCTTGCTCTGTAGCCCAGGCTGGAGTGCAATGGCGCAGTCTCAGCTCACTGCAGCCTCTGCCTCCTGGGTTCGAGTGATTCTCCTGCCTCAGCCTCCAGAGTAGCTTGGATTACAGGCACATGCCACCAGGCCTGGATAGTTTTTTTTTTGTTTGTTTTGTTTTGTTGTTTTGTATTTTTAGTAGAGACAGGGTTTCACCATGTTGGCCAAGCTGGTCTCGAACTCCTGACCACGGGTGATCCACCCACCTTGGGCTCCCAAAGTGCTGGGATTACAGGTGTGAGCCACTGCGCCCGGCCTCAAATGGGTTTATTTTTAACATATGTGATAACATAGCCCAGTGGGTATTCTAAAACGTAGTTTAAATGCTGTAAAAATGATAATTTAACTAGTCACTGGCAAATAGATAATATTCTTAGAGAACAAACTAAAATTCACACTTTTTTGTAATTGTTTCTGTAAAATTTTTAATAATTAGGCAATATATTAGAGAGATTATTTTCACTGTTGTATTTCAAAAGTAGTATTTCAAATCATTGCGTAAAGTAACTGAAGAACAATTTAAATACCACTTTAAAAATTTTTCCCATTTTATCCATTTCTATACATTTAGATTATCTTGATAACGGTATTCATGGTTTTAAAAAAGGAAAAGCTGATGGAAAAAGTTGAATATAGAAATTATATGGGAAGCAAAGAAGTCTTCCTTTTTGTTCATACTTTTCACATAAAAGGGATTTAGCAAGTAAAAAGGGCATTTGGTGTTTGGTTTTCTTTTGTTTTTTTTAGCCCTAGGAGATAAAATACAAAACTCATTGGCGAGGTTTTAGATTAAATAAAAGACAGTATTTACATACTTTGTGTCGCCCACTCAAAAATGGGTATTTTGTTTTGATTTTGCTTTAGTTAAGGAAAGAGAGATTAGTGTGAAAAAAAAAAATGTATGGTGGAGAAAAAATTTTGCAAAGGAAATCTTTCTTAACTTGCAGTGTGACTGTGCACGGCAGTTTGAGCAGCACAACATGTAATTTTATTCTAGTAAACGTATCTCTTACCTACTTGTAGCTGCTTTAACTCACAAACGCCTGTCAGAAACTGAGTTCTTCCTTAATTTTCAGTGATAGGTGTCTCTGCGTTGAAGAAAATGGTTCCTATTTCTTTCTGCAATTGTGCAAAGATGAGGCTGCTGTAGCACCTGGGCTTTCATATTGCAGGGGAACCTAAATAGTGGCTGTATTTGAAAGGTGGAAA